TAAAGTTAGAAAGGACCTTAAGATCATCTAGTTCCAACCCCCCTGCCATGGGTATGGACACCACACAATAAACCTTGTCCTACCTGGCCTTTTGGGACTCTGAAGTACCCTCTCAGGAGGTAGTCTATGCCATGGATGCATTTAGCCTCTGGACCTGTCACAATAGGGTGCTTTTGCCACTTAGTCCCAGTCAGGCTGATTTCAGCCTCCAGTACAGTCAGTTCTTTGGATCCTCCTGTCACTCCAGAAATATAAATGGGTTCCACCCCTTGACAGCTTGATGGCATCAGGGTACACTGTGCACCGGTATCTACTAGAGCCTTATACTTCTGTGGGACTTATGTGCCAGGCCAACTGATCCACACAGTCCAGTAAATCTGATTGTCCCCTACCTCTACCTGCTTGGAGGCAGGGCCCCTCTAATGGTCATCACAGTGTTGGACACTTAAGTCGTGGTGAAAGGGATTATTCTTTGTTATCACAGGAGCTGGTCTAAAATCAACTCTTCCACTCCATCTGGGAAACTGCCCACCAGATACTGAAGCCATAGCTCTCATGGGATGATCAGTCTTGGCCCTTGCTCCCCTCTTCAGTTCACTCACCTGTTCCTCCAGAGCTGAAGTAGGTTTTCCATCCCACTTTGTCATGTCTTCTCCATAATCAAGCAGGGAAAACCATAAGGTGGCTTGTGGCATATACCTTCTATACCTTCTCTCTCGAACAATAGAACGCCTTTTGTTAATAGCTGAGATGTATGTTGGTACACGTGAGGAGCTGGATAAATCAGATAGATCATCCCTCAATTGTTTGAGATCCTGGAACAGTTTTTCCACAGCTGAGATGATGGAAGGGGTGAGATGGTCTTCGAACTCTCAGAGTTTATGAATCATTTCATCCACTGTTAGTGGTACTATGTCATTCCAGGTTACTGTTGCCAATGAATGGGGATATGATGACGGCGCATTCTGTGTAAGTTTTCGCCACATGGATCGTGTACATTCAACTTCATCTGGGTCTATGGGTATATCCCCGATATTCAGCTTGATGTGACAGATCATCTCTACGATGGCTGATTCACTCAGAGACTGGATGCCTTTGTCTAAAGTAGTCCACTTGGCCAAAGGATTCATAACATCGTCCTTGTACGAAAACCTTTCTTTCACAGCTGCCAAGAGCCTTTTTCTCTCTTGCAATTGCTTTGTCAATTCCCCCTTCTCTAGCAAGTGATCCCAGCTGCTTGGCTTCTGTACCTTCTAGTTTGTGACCATCGGCCCCATTGCCCCAGCATCGGAGTAACCAGGTGTTGATGTGCTCCCCTGGTCAACAGGTAAAATATTTTCACATATTCCGTAGGTCGGTTGAGTTCTGAGGTTGAGAAGTCACCTCTTCTTCTTCTTCTTCTTCATCATGTGATGTTGACTCCTGATCAAATGCTGGACCGGGTGGTGAATACATTGTTTCTTCATCTTGCTTCACCCTTCTTGCCTTTTTTGGGGTTTTTCTCTTGCGTACAGGGGCAACCAATATTGGTACCAATTGGTCCTCTGGTTTAGCTGCTGGGATTATACCTGTGGTTTGAGTAGCGACTGTACTTGTCACTGGGGGTAGTGTAGCTGTTGTGCTTGGAGCTGGGGTAGCTGTGCTGTCTGTTGCAGTCAAAGTTTGAGTAGCTGCTGTACTTGTCGCTGGGGCAGCTGCGCTATCCGTTGAAGCCAAAGTTTGGGTAGCGACTGCACTTGTCACTGGGGTTGGTGCAGCTGTTGTGCTTGGAGCTTGAGTAGCTGCACTGACGGTTGCTTTGCCTTCAGATCCAGGTACATTTTTTTCCATTTGAAGGCGCTGGCTAGTCTTAAACAAGACCCTGTAAGCATAGGCCAAGCCCCAGCACGTTGCCATGATTTGTCCCTCTCTGGTATGGCCAGAATTACAACACAGCTCATTTAAGCATTTTACTAATTTTTCCGGATTTTGCACTTGTTCATTGGTGTAGATACCCACGTGTGACTTGGGGTAGCTGCGCTGGTCATTGCAGCCTAAGTTTGAGTAGCGACTGTACTTGTCTCTGGGGGTGGTGAAGCTGCTGTGCCTGGAGCTGGAGTAGCTGCGCTGACTGTTGCTTTGCCCTCAGATCCGCCGACATTCTTTTCCTTTTGAAGGTGCTGGATACTGTTGAACAAGGCCCTGTAAGCATAGGCCAAGCCCCAGCACGTTGCCATGATTTGTCCATCTCTGGTATGGCCAGAATGACCACACACCTCATTTAAGTGTTTTATTAATTCTTCTGGATTTTGCACTTGTTCGGTGATGAAATTCCAAAGTACTGGAGGGGCCCACTGACCTAGATACTTGCCCATACTATCCCACACACCCTGCCACTCATGGCTGTCCAGCCTCAGGGAAAGTCTCTTGGTCCTCCTATATCGTCGTCTAACCCCAGACAAGACCCAAACTGGACTCTGCTTAACTTTCGAGATCAGACAAAATGGTCTTGGGCAAAACACACTCTGTATGCATGCCAACATGGTGATCCCCATCACAATCAGCAGGCAGGTCTCAGGGGTATTTAAAGGCCATTCAAAAACTTCAAAAATCTCAAACAATGCTGTAAATGGGGGGGGGGGGGGGGGGCTGGGAGGGTAAGAGAATGTCTCCTTCACAGGTTGACCACCCAAGAAGGAGAAAAAAAGATGTGTACTTGCAAAGCATTTCTATTATATACCTCCCAAAGTATAAAGGTGGTGACCACACTGGGAACATAAGCCAGATCAGTTTCATGATCAATGATTCTATTGTATTACAAGTCATTACCATAAAGTACAATGAGACAAAAACCTTAGACCAAGCCCCACACTTGATAAACACTAAAATGGCAAATACCAGCTCTAAGTAAGGTGCAACATTCTGAAACTGTGAGATCAAGAGAAACAGCTTTGAGAGCCAATAAATCATCATTGTGATGAGTGGCTATTAATCCAAAACAATGAACGCTTATCACAAATATAATTAGAGACACTCCGGTCAGATATGTCGTTATCTCAACCCCTTGTGCCCCACGTTGGGCGCCAAAAGAACTGTCGTGGTTTAAACCCAGTCAGCCACACAGTTTCTACTCCCCCCCTCCCCCTTTCTTTCCTTCCCCCCATCTTCTTTCCCCCATTCCCGGAGGGATGGGTAGGAGAATCGAAAGAATGTAACTCCCACTGGTTGAGATAAGAACAGTCCAGTAACTAAGGTATAACACGTAATACTACTGCTACCACCAATAATAATAATGATAAGAGAAATAACAAGGGAAGAGAAAACGATACCACCTGCCAAAACGAGCCCAACTGAGAAGAGAAGTGCCCTTCCAGGTAACTCCCAGTTACCTCCCTGGGCATGACGTGCTGTGGTATGGAATACCTCTTTGGCTAGTTTGGGTCAGGTGTCCTGTCCCTGCTTCCTCCTGGCCTCCCCTCCTCCCTGGCAGAGCATGAGACTCACAGAGTCCTTGGTCAGAGTAAACATCAGTGTTATCAGCTCTGTTCCCAGGCTGAAAGTCAAAACACAGCGCTGCACCAGCTACTAAGAAGGAGAAAAAATGACTGCTACTGCTAAACCCAGGACAGGCCTATGGTCAGGGGCATGGCAGGGGACCAAAGCGAGTGCCTCAATGGAGCCACTACTGGCTCCCCATAGGGCCAGGGCAAGGATGGCTGTCTCTCCCACCCTGTGCTCAGCTGGGTGGGAGGAATCATAGAATCAGCTAGGTTGGAAAAGACCTTTAAGATCATCAACTCCAACCATTACCCCAGGACTGCCAAGACCACCACTAAAGCATATCACTGAGGGCCTCGTCTACACAGTTTTTGAACACTTCCAGGGACAGTGATTCCACCACTTTCCTGGGAAGCCTGTTCCAATACCCAATCAACCTCTCTGTGAAGAATTTTTTCCTAATAGCCAGTCTAAACCTGCCCTGATGCATCTTGAGGCCGTTACCTCTCATCCTATCACTTGTTACTTGGGAGATGAGACCAACCCTCACCTCACTACAACCTCCTTTCAAGTAGCTGTAGAGAGCGATAAGGTCCCCCCGAGCCTTCTTCAGGCTAAACAACTCCAGTTCCGTCAGCCATTCCTCATAAGACTTGTTCTCCAGACCCTTCACCAGCTTTGTTGCCCTTTTCTGGACCCACTCCAGCACCTCAATGTCTTTCTTGTAGTGAGGAGCTCAGAACTGAACACAGTATTTGAGGTGTGGCCTCACCAGTGCCAAGTACAGGGGGATAATCACTGCCCTGGCCCTGCTAGTCAAAGTAGTGCTGATACAGGCCAGGATGCTGTTGACCTTCTTGGCTACCTGGGCACACTGCTCGATCATGTTCAGCTCCATTAATCAGCACCCCCAGGTTCTTTTCCACTGAGCAGCTTTCCACTCTTCCCCAAGCCTGGAGCATTGAACAGGGTTGTTGTAGCCCAAATGCAGGACCTGGTACTTCGCCTTGTTGAACCTCATACCACTGGCCACAGCCCATCGACCCAGCCTGTCCAGATCCCTCTGCAGAACCTTCCTATCCTTCAGCTGATCAACACTCCCAGCCAACTTGGTATTGCCTGAATATTTACTGAGGGTGAACTCAATCCCCTCATCCAGATCATCAATAAAGATATTAAGCAACACTGGCCCTAACACTGAGCCCTGAGGGACACCACTAGTGACCAGTCACCAACTAGATGTGGCACCATTTGCCACCACTCTTTGAGCTCGGCCATCCAGCCAGTTTCCAACCCAGCAAAGAATCCACCTATCCAGGCCATGAGTAGCCAATTTGTCCAGGAGAAAGCTGTGGGAGACAGTATCAAATGCTTTACTAAAGTCCAAATAGACAATGTCCACAGCCTTTCCCTCATCAACCACATGGGTCACCTTATCATAAGAGATCAGGTTGGTCAAGCAGGACCTGCCCTTCATGAAGCCATGCTGACTGGGCCTGATCCCTCCATTTTCCTGCACGTACTTTATGATCTCACTTACGATCATCTGCTCCATGACCTCCCCCGGCACTGAGATCAGGCTGACAGGCCTGTAGTTCCCAAGGTCATCCTTCCTACCCTTTTTGTAGAAAGGTGTCACATTGGCCAACCTCCAGTCCTCTGGGACCTGCCCACTAGACCAGGACTGCTGATAAATGATGGAGAGTGGTTTAACAAGCTCCTCTGCTACCTCCTTCAGCACTCTTGGGTGTAACCCATCTGGCCCCATAGACTTGTATATGTCTAAATGGAGCAGGTGGTCTGTAACCACCTCTTCCTGAATTATGGGGACTTCAATCAGCTCCCCATCTCTGCCATCCAACTCAGGGTATGCTGAGGTTGGATGGTGTGACTATTAAAGACTGAGGCAAAGGCAGCATTAAATACCTCAGCCTTTTCCTCATCCTCAGTTCCTAGGTTTCCCCTAGTATCCATCAGAGGATTGGCTCTTCTTTTATTGCTAATACATTTGTAAAAGTACTTTTCTTTTCTTGCTAATACATTTGTAAAAGTACTTTTTATTATCTTTGATGTCAGTGGCCAGATTTAGTTCCATCTGTGCCTTTGCCTTTCAAACTTTCTCTCTACATAACCTAAGAACAGCCTTATACTTTTCATGGTGTAACTGTCCCTTCTTCCACAGGTGATACATTATCCTTTTTTCCTGAGTTCAAGCAGTATCTCCCAGTTCAGCCAGGCTGCTTTCTTCCCTGCCAGTTTGATTTTGGCACATAGGCACCACCTGCTCCTGCACCTTGAAGATTTCATTCTTGAAGAGTGTCCAGCCTTCCTGGACCCCTTTGTCCTTTAGTAGTTTCCCAAGGAATTCTGCCAACCAGCGTCTGAAACAGGCCAAAGTCAGTCTAGTCTAAGGTGGAGGTTTTGCTGACCTTCTTCCTGACTTCTCCAAGGACTGAAAATTCAACCATTTAGTGATGTTATCAATATTCTAGCCAATTTTGGTTTAAAGTATAAATTTTATTAAACTGAGTAAGCGATAGCAGATAAAACAGCGCTGGGTGCGCCGGGGAGTCCTCTGCTCCGCCCAAGACGAGCACACGCGGTCCCTGGGAGGCGGTCCTTTATCTTCTCCGGTTCAAGGCCCCGGCCAATCCTGTCGCCCCTCCTCACTCGGATGTTGACATGGCTCTTCCGCATTGGTTCCCTTTGTTGCAGGGGTCTCATTACCGAGAAGTTTCGGGAAGTTTTGAGAAGCTGCCAGAGGCTTCGAGAAGCGTCCACTGCCAGCCTCCTCACCGTCGCAGCCCCCTCCCCTCAAGCGTTGCAACAAGACACCACTTCGAGCCACCCAGCCCCCATTTCTCTCTCACAATCCCGCGCAACAATACAACTGACCTCCCCCTGATGCGCGGATTGACTCCACAACTCGTTAAAAGTTGTAAAGTAGGTATGCTTTTTATTCAGCGCTGAGACGCACGGGGATAATTCCTTAAAGTCATGCGTACCTCAGTGTTGTTTCCCTCTACATTTATTCTCTAAAGTTATATATATTCATAAGGTTGCACAATACGCCTACACATATTCATGTCCTATCCCCGCTTCGAATTATAATGAGCCAGAAGGTCCTCTGCGCCTGCGCAGCGCCACCTCTGGTCATGGGCAGAGGGCTCAAGACGAAGTAAATGAGTCTTCCTCCTCTGGGTAGGGGTCTTCAAGATGAAGTAAATGAGTCTTCCTCTTCTTGCACTTTTCACCTTTTTTAGTCTTTACGTGTGGCCTTAGAGTTTGGTCAGTGTCCCAGCCGTAAATCCTCTAATTCTCCCCTTTATCAGTAGAGTTTGATCAGTGTCCCAGCCGTAAATCCTCTACTTCTCCCCTTTATCAGTAGAGTTTGATCAGTGTCCCAGCCGTAAATCCTCTGCTTCTCCCCTTTATCAGTAGATTCAGGCGTCTGCTTATTAACAGGACCGGAGGTCTCTGTTCTGCTTAGCAGGCATTTACAACAGATAGTCCTTTTGTTTAAACAAATTCCTCTAACCCCCTTGTACAACCCCCCTGTACTACCCCCCTGTACAATGGTCAACCCTCTGTATCACCCCCATTACCTACAGAGTACAACAGTTACAGAGTCAAAAGGAGTATTGTTTCACATAACGACAGCCACAGAGAGCCTCCCTCCCCCCAAACTTCTTGATGAACAAACCCCACACATTACAGTGATAACATTGCCCAAGACGGCCTCCAGCCATCACATCACCCACCAGTCCTTCTCTGTATGTAAAAAGCAAATCTAGCCAGGTATCTCCCCTAGTTGGCTCACTCACCAGCTGGGTTAGGAAGTTATCTTCCACACTCTCCAAGAACCTCCTGGACTATTTAATCTATGCTGCGTTGTACTTCCAACAGACATCTGGTAGGTTGAAGTCCCCCACGAGAACAAGGGAAAGCAATCATGAAATTTCTCCCAGTTGTTTGAAGAACACTTCATCTGTAGCTTCATCCTGGCTGGGTGGTCTATAACAGACTCCTACCAGGATATCAGCTTGGTTGACCTTTCCCCCTGATCTTTGCCCACAAACATTCAGCCTTCTCACTCGCAGCACTGAGTTCAAGGCAGTCAATGCACTCCCTAACATACAATGCAACCCCACCACCTCTTTTTCCTTGCCTATCCCTTCTGGAGAGCCTATAGCCAACCATTGCAGCACTACAATCATATGAATCATTCCACCACGTTTCTGTGAGGGCAATTATGTCATGATTTTCTTGCTGCACAGTAACTTCCAGCTATTCCTGTTTGTTGCCCATGCTGCAGGTATTGGCATAAATGCATTTAAGTTGCGGCTCCTTAAGTTGCATTAAGGAGCACAGCGGCCCCACCAGATGCGGCTACTTGTGGGGTTCCGCAGGGGGAGGACACATGCATCCAAGGGGCTCATCCAGGTAAATGATCATCATCATGGCTTGACTTCCCGAACGAAGATTTGGGAAGGGCTTTACCCACGCTTACTACAGGCACGCTGATGACTAAAAAGGCCAATGTGGGTTAGGCAAATCCGGTTGCAAAAAGCACAACGAAAGGTCTACCTTGTGTTGTATTAGGCGGGGGGCGATTCTTTCTAAGGTGTCTTTTCTCCTCGAGACTAGTCCTGCGTGTGTTCTCAAAGGAGACAACGGCATTATGTATGGTGTGTCTCCAGGTAAATACCCCTCGCATTTTAAGTGAGCTTCATTTACCGGCAGCCACTTCAGTCGGGCGTGGAGCTGCGTTTAAGCCGCCCCCTGGGAAGGCCCCAGTCTCCGCCCTCCGGGGCAGCCCAGCCGCACCCCGCTCTAGATGGGGCTGAGCGCGGCGGCTGAACGCACCCCCGCGGGGGCTTGGGCATGGCCGCGGTTGGGCGGGGACCTGCCAAGCCATAGCCGCGGGCTATAGCGCCCTCGCGAGGGACAGTCGCCGCTCCCGGCCGCGGCCATGGAGCGTCGGTGATCGCCGCCGCAGCGGAGTCACCACCGCAGCCCCTCCGGGAGACGATGGCCCTGCACTCGTTCTGCTTGGTACTGGAAGGTAGGAGCCGCGGGCGGCATGGCGCCCTCCGCGGGAGAAGCGGCCCAGAGGCGCCCCATCCTCTTTGGCTGCCACGTGTGACACCCCTCACCCTCCCACCCAGCTCGACCCCGGCCGCCCTCCTACCGCCGACTGAAGGTTTGGTACGCGGTGCATGGGGCTACAGAGGGCACGGCCGCCCCGCTGCTGCCGGGGCTGTTCTTCCCTGCCGGGCCCTGCTCCGCTCCGCGCGAAAGCCGGCGCCGCGGGGCCTCAGGGCGGGTGCTGCTGGGAGACCGGCGGTGGGCTGGGAACCCGCGGCCAGCCCGGGCTGCCCCCGTCCCCGGTGGGCGGCGGGAGCACCTCGGCCCCTCGGGTGGGGGGGTCCCCGCCTCAGCGCCGCGGGTCACGGCGGCAGTGTCAGTGCCCGGTCTGTTCCCGAGATCTCCAGACTTTTCGCAGTAAAAGCGTTCTTTGTGCTTTCGGGACTCTCTTAATAAGCTGTCTGATAGCGATCGGATTATCGTACTGTGATCGGGAGCATTTTTTTTTTTTTCAGCAAGGTTTTAATAAAATGAGTCACCTGAGTGACAAGCGGCTTCCTGACCCGTATTTACCTGTGCTTCTCTTCCTCCCGGGGCTTTTAAATCTTGTTTCTAACTTCTTTAGGCTCAAAGGTAAACAAGTGAGGAAGGTTCCTCATCCCAGCATTTCTTTGTCTTTGATGCCCCTATCATTTGCATAGCTCGACAATGGGCAAGGCTTTTCTCTTAGGAAGTAAAGCTAGATATGGCAGTTAACCGTGTGCCTCAAGATTATTTTCTAGCATTCAGTATCTTATAGAATCACAGAATGGTTTGGGTTGGAAAGGACCTTATGATCATGTAGTTCCAACCCCACTGTCGTGGGCAGGGATGCCTTCCACTAGACTATGTTGGTCGAGTCTCTGTCCAACCTGGCCTTGAACACTGCCAGGGATAGAGCATTTACCATTTCCTTGGGCAACCTCTTCCAGCGCCTCACTACCCTCACAGTAAAGAACTTCTTCCTTATATCTAACCTGAACCCCTGTTTAAGTAAGTTTGAACCCATTGCCACTTGTCCTACTGATACAGTCTGTGATGTCTCCAGCATCCTTGTAGGCCCCCTTCAGATACTGGAAGGCTTTTTCAGCAATAGCAGACTTGAACAATCAGGGATTTTAATAAATAAATAAATAAATCATTAAATTATTTTGTTAGGAAATTCTGGAGTGTCTGCTTGCATTACTGAAGCCAAGGCATTATTGTAGGCAGGAGAAATGTTTCTGGTATGCATTGATGTCCTCCCCACATATAAAACTTGTGCAGAAGTCTGTTTTAAACTCAGAATGTTTCCACAGCCCATGGAATCTCATGTTTCTGGCCTTAAGGCCAGATGTCTTGAGGGTTTAAATAAATATTTTTCTGTTATTGGCACAGTAACTGAGAGACAGATGATACTTGCTCTTAATAAATGTCTATGTAGGTATTAACCATCCCCTGAGTTTAGATAACAGGAACATAAAGCTTACATGGGGAGAAAAGGCATTTAAACCACTGTAAAATACCCATAAATTGCAACTTACATATCTACTTCTTAATTATTTTCTACATCTGCAGATTTAATTGCATTTCACAAATATGCATTTGCTGCACGTTTGACTGTCCAGGTTTTGACCTGAGCAGACCTCATGCTTATCTTTTATAATCACACAAGTCCAGGTACAAAGTCCCTCTACAGGAAGTTTTTTATTATTCATAATCTATAAATTGCACAAAGCCATTAGTCAAGAAGCTGTTAGCATTCTAAATGCATCACATTGCTGTACAATGGTCAACCCTCTGTATCAATCCCCTCTTTTTCTTTTAAAGTTAGTAAATTCTTTTACTATATTATTCATGACAGAGCTATCCATGTTCCTTCTATCGATTTTATACAAGGTACAATCATAAAAGGCCTTGTTTCAGTATGTCCCTGAACCATCCAGTAACTCCTAGGTTATTTAACCACTCATCCAATCTGCCTCCAACAATTCTAAGCTCTTGTATATTTTCCTGCAATTTTCGCAGCTTAGCATGAATTGATTCAGAATGATCAGATAAGTTCATGCAGCACATGCCTTTGAAATCCTCACAACCATGTCCATGGGCCAATAATAAAAAGTCAGTTGCTGCTTGGTTTTGTAAAGATGCATGTCTTACACTATCTGTGTCTGTGGGTAGGGAGGATATCACATCTGAAGTTATATTTAATTGCTTAGCCGCCCAACATGCCAAATGATGTATATCTGCCAATGCTTTCCCCGCAGCTACATTTGGTACAAATAATGCCACCAAAAATCTTGCCGTGTGATTCCAGATTAAAGCGGAATCACAATTCAGGCCTAATTGCCCAATGGATCGTTTGTTTCTGCGGAGGCTGTCCTTCATGTCCTGGACTAAATGCCTTTTGGAGGCTGCAAACAGGGACAATTTACCTAGATAACATGGTCCTCCAAAGGGTTTGGTAGGAATCCCTGGCCATGCATGGTCTCCACATATCAAGAAATATCCTGGGGGTAGAGCTTTAGGTATTGTATCGTACCATGTCTTCCCACTAGTTACCTTGGTCTTAGGGACTTTGCTTGACCATTTATTAAGTTATACAGCTCTGATTAGTCTTGTCAGATCCCAAGAGTTGGAGTAATTTAAGTTTCTTCCATTTGCGCTGATGCAACTGTCCAGTCGGTTCCATGAGCTCTCTGGACCATTTTGATCACTGTGCTAGGATTTATAATCAAGTCATTCCTAACCCATCCCCGACAATCAAAGGGGTTCAAGTATGGTATACCAATTAGGCACGTTTGAAAGGGATTTTCCACCTGTGCCAAGGTCGGACAAAAATCAGTAGTCCCAGTCTTGTTTGCCCATGTGAGCCAGACATTCGTATTTGAACCCAGTATTGAAGTTTCTTTTTCTATGGCTTGGACCATGGTACAGGTATAGGGGATTAATATCAATAATCGCTCCGTTTTAACTATTCTACTTAACTATATATGTTGATTACAATTGCAACATCGTATTGACACCCATGAATCACTCTATTTTTTTTTTTTTTAATTGTTTTCCCAGATTGACCAGAAATTTTAGGAGATAAACTTCTCCCACTTCCAGAAGACTTTCTCCTTTAAACTGGGACCGATATGGTCTTCCACATAAAATTTTTACATAGAATAGCCTCTGGTACTCCAAAACCTACAAGGGAATGCTTCTGGCCACCCTAAAAAAGTATTCGTTAACACCAACAAATATTGGTAAAAAAAATTTATTTGTCTAATTGAACTATGATATATAGATTCCTTCCTTCAATTTGTTCATATATATAAAGACTTGCTATCTCAATGAGTTTTATTATGTTCCTCCTGAACTACCATCCAGAGTTGGTTATAGGGGATTATAATTCACCCATCAGGTATCTGAACCCAATTTTCTTTGTTTTCCTCTCCTCCTCTGAGATCTTCAATACATTTTCTATCCTCCTTTGATTTTCTAGGTTTAGATTTCTCAATTGTTAGTTTGCCGTCAGGGATTAAGGGAATGAGTTTAGATTGTTAAAATCAGCCAAATTTCATCTTGTTGATATCCTTGACAACACATAATAGCTACTTCCTCAGGTAGCTGAACAGCTCTCAATAGTGGTAGCATGTTTATTCTGTTTCTCCTGTGTGTTCAAAGGTCCTCGTTCTTTCCAGATGGCACCATGTGCATGGACCACACCAAATGCATATTTAGAACCAGTGGGCTTCTTTCTGTTCCAGGAATGCTGATACAACACAGGACACTAGTACAGTAATTTTTGTCCCAAGGTAAATAAGCGGGCCTCTTCAATATTCATGACAACTGCTGTCACAAATGTCCTGGGTTCAGCAGTAGCAGTCATTTTTCTCCTTCTTGGTAGCTGGTGCAGTGCTGTGTTTTGACTTTCAGCTCGGGAACAGAGCTGATAACAAGGATGTTTTGGTTTGGCCAAGGACTTTGTGAGCCTCATGCTCTGCCAGGGAGGAGGGGAAGCCAGGAGGAAGCAGAGACAGGACACCTGACCCAAACTGACCAAAGAGGTATTCCATACCACAGCACGTCATGCCCAGGGTGTAACTGGGAGTTAGCCGGAAGGGCTGGGAGACTGCAGGGTTGGAGGAGGTATCGGTCGGTGCTTGGTCGGGCTGAGGGGGGGCGAGTTATCGGTCGGCTGGTGCTGAGGTGTTGTATTCTCTTCCCTTGTTATTTCCTTTATCATTATTATCATTGGTGGTAGCAGTAGTGATTTGTGTTATACCTTAGTTACTAAACTGTTCTTATCTCAACCCGTGGGAGTTGCATTCTTTTCGATTCTCCTCTCCGTCCCTCCAGGAGCAGGGGGAGGGCAAGAAAGGCGGGGGGGGAAGTGAGCGAACGAGTTACCTGACTGGGTTTAAACCACGACAGTTCTTTTTGGCGCCCAACGTGGGGCACGAAGGGTTGAGATAAGAACAGATCTGACTGGATTGATAGTCACTCGTCACAATGCTGATTTATTGGCTCTCAGAGTTGTTCTTGTTGATCTCACAGCTTCAGAATGTTGTAACTTACTTAGAGCCGGTATTTGCTGTGTTAGTGTTTATCAAGTGTGGGGTTTGGGCTAAGGTTCTTGTCTCACTGTGCTTTATGGCAATGGCTTGTAATACGGGCGGGCTCCAGCAGCAGGGCGGGACAGACGTGGCCGTGGACTTGTACCTGGCCGTCCGGCTGCTCTTCACCGTCCTGGCCCTCACCCTACTCTCCATCTTCGTGAGGCTGCGGGGAGCCGAGGGGGAGCGGCCCCGGGAGCCGGCGGCTGCTGAAGCGGCCCGGGAGAGCGGCCCCGGGGACCAAGCGGCGGCGGGAGCGGGGCCGGAGGCCGCCAGGGGACGGCTGCCGGTGGAGGAGGTCGGGGCGGTCGAGGAGCAGAAGGAGGCGGCTGCCGAGCAGAGGGATAAGGCGGCG